GGACGAAGGTCGGATGTGGGCGAGGCCGGGTGACAACTTTTGGGAAGTCCTTGTATCCCGACCGCGTGCAGAGCTCGGCGAAGTCGGTGTCCAGGAGCCCGGTGCACTGGTACTCCTCTACGGGGCGGGGGAGAGGGACGGGCGGCGCCGAGCCGCGAGCTGTAGCGCCGTGCGGCCACCGGGGGGCAGCAGAGGCCGCAGGACGCCGCCCTCGCCGGCGCCCAGCACCGCGTTCCCGCGCCCACCCGCAGCCTCCGCGGAGGCAGGGACCCTTCTCCCGGGCGGACATCCTTACAGCCATTTAAATTGTAAGATGCGTTGAAACAGTGGGAAATCAAGACCTGGAAGAAAGGAGACTACAGGGCGTGGAATGTGGACAACCGGGGCGCCGCTTTTAAGAGCTGGCTCCTCCACCCATCCCACGGGTGAAGCCCGCTTCTACTCCGACTCTCCCAGCCCGGGACGGAAGAGGAGGTCCCGGGGGAAGGAGGGAGGTCCGCCTCCCACTGGGTGTCCTCAGCCCAGCCTCCTCCCGTGACCCTTCCTTGATGAGACTGTTCACAGTCACACCGAGAGAGAAGCCCAGCCTGATGTGAGCGAAGGAAGGGACCCAGGAGTACCTCTCCACACGCACTCCACTCATGTACACCGAGGCCCAGCAGGCTTTTATTTATTTGGCAAGCGTTTATCCTGCACTTACCTCTGTGCCACACTGTTCTCAGTGCTTTAGAAATATTAACTCATCCAAGAGTTACATTAATTCATGCCCACCACATCCCATACTGACAGCATTGCTAAGCCGAGGTGTCTGAGTCCCCAGAGACCCCTGCTCTTTCTTGCTCCCCCGGGGGCATTCCAGGAAGAAGTGATTCCTGGAGATGGGAACGGGTGTCCCTGGTGAATGGGAGAAACTAGAGGTAGAAGGGCTGGCTTACTGCCAGCCTGCTCTGCCAAGGGCTGGGCAGCCTGGAGGCCCCACGGCAACATCAGCCCGGCCACAGGCAGCAGGTGCTGCCGGGCTGCGCCCCGGGGAACTCCTGCAGCTAACAGCAGGCAGCCTGGCCCAAGAGTGTGGAGGGGCTGTGCTCAGCATGGGGGTTCCTGGCAAAGGGGTGAGAGGCACATTCCCATGTGCCCAGCCATCAGGGGGACGCAGACCCACAGGAAACGTTAGCTGAATAGACGAGGCAGAGGAGAGGGGCACGGGGTGGCTGGGCTAACCCCCCCTATGGCCGAGTCCTGCACAAGGCCTGCTTTCCTGGCTGTTCCTTCTGCTGGGAGAGCCATCCACCCTTCCTTGCTTCACTCATACCACCTTTCTCTACAAGGGAGATTCTCAGACTTTAACATCTGTCTCTAGGAATGACCAGGAGAGCCTGTTAAACGTTTCCTGGGCCCCATCCGCAGAGGTTCTGATTCCATAGGCTGGGTGGAGTCCACGAATTTGCATTTCTAACAGGCTCACGGATGGCGCCAAAGCTTCTGGTCCCAGAACAGCTCTTGAGAACCCCTGCTCTAGAACAGCGCTGCCCAACAGAACTTAACGGGGTGCTGAAATGTTCTGTATACATGCTTCAGCTGGGAGTCGCCTAGTGGACAGTACAGCTCTAACGGGAGATTGCTCCCCTCCTCCTCCCCTCCCACACTCCTTCCTCGTGCTCACTAATGAGCTGGCCTCCTAGCTTCTGAAGAAGCAGAAGCCACCACGTGGGGTTTTCTCTAAATGTACAAACCTTCATACATCTGCTGGCACTCTGCCCACTGGAGCCCCACAGCTGCCATTGCCACAGCACGCAATGGCCCTCTAGACACCCCGCCCTCCGTGTTCTCCTGTCCACAGTTCCTGCGCAGCTGTCACTCCTATTCTCTCCTACCTCTCTGCAGAGGCTGCTCGGGCTTCCCTGCCAGTGCCTGTTCTTCAGAGATCTCTAAGGCTGGGTCCTGAACCCTCTCCTCTTCTCTGGTTACACTCCTCCCCTCCCGAAGGGAATCATTCCCAGGGCTTCAATACCCCTGAACATCAGCAGCTCCCAAAGTCACATCGCCAGCTTGACCTCTCCTCGGCGCTCCCGGCTCGTGTGTCCAGCTGCCCGACCGACATCTCTTACACGTTCATTGGGCTTTCCTGTCTCCGTGAACGTACCTCAGCCCGCCCGTTGCTCCACCCAGAAACCTAGGACTCATTCTTGCTACGTTCTTCCTCACTTTCTACCCCACCTAATACTTTACCAGTTCTTTCTGCATCCACCTCTGAAGTGTTTCTCAAGAAGCCTAATCCATTCTCCCTCACCACCCTGTTTCAACTCCACTATCCCTCACCTGGACTGTTGAAAAGCCCCTGCCTCCATTTTCCTCCCCTTACATTCCATTTTCCATACAGCAGCCAGATATGTGTGTGTGCGTGGTGGGGTGGGGTGGGGGGGCGATATAACTGGGCTCCTGTCTGTTGGAGATTCTGTCCTCTCTGTCTTTCTCCGGCTCTCATAGCGCCCTCCCCCCAGCGACCAGCCCTGACCAGGACATGGCACCTGATCAAGATCTGACAATCAGAGCGTTTCCCCAAGTTGTTTTACCGCGAGACCAGGGACAGCAAGTTCCTGCCCCTCTTTGATAGCAAAGCTGGTGGATTTGAATCAAGAAGCTTCCAAAAAATCCCGTGTGGATGCTTAGTTTGGACTGGGGTTAGTTCACTTGTACCATCAAGAGCCACACTCCTACTTCTACCCTTTCAATGGATTTCTTCTCCCAGAGAATGCAAATCCTGCTGGCGATCTGTGTCCATCTTATTCTCACTGTATCGGACCTGGCTATAGAGCAGACATCCAAAAAGGAACTTGAATAAATGAGTATAAAACTCAACTCAAAGTTACATCCCGGTAGTCCCCCTTTCCTCATCACTCCCTGGGCCTCCTCTCATATATATTTTATCACATCTTATTGTATTTGTCAGCATCCCAAACCAGAGGAGGTGGGGGGCTGTCTTTAAGATCAAGTTCAATTCAAACGTCTGCCCAGCTGAGTTTCAGGAACTGTGAGGGGAGTAATGATTCGTATTCCAGGATGGGGCAGGGAGCTTGGCACACAGTGGGTGCACATGTATGCTTGCTGAATGAACAAATGAATTTGCAGTTTACAAAATACTTTCTCACCATGAACCCCCCTGCTCCTCACCACAGTAAGCAGGGCGGGACTCACATCTCCATAGTACAGAGAAGAAACGTGGCTAAGGCCACAGGCCTTGAAAACATTCTTACCATGTGCCAGGTTACAGGATGTCTCCCATCACTTACTGAACTTCAGTAGGTTGCTACTACATAGCACTCTTTAGCACCAGAAACTCTATTTCCTGGCTCTGTCTTGCCGCCGGAGCTTGTTTCTGCACAGCCAGTACAGTGCCTGGCACAACCACCACGCCCCACGCAACCTGGCTTCCCAAATAAGGAGCAGCTGGCGGAGCGCACGGAGCTACAGCCTTGAGGCCTGGTCCCCCAACCCCGCCGCTAGCGTACCAGGGTTTTTGGGCTCCGCCTCGCCCACCGGCGTCAGGATGGGTGCCGTTTTCTCCTTGGTCGCACGATCGCCCTTCTTGGCTACTGTGCCAGACCACTTCTGGGTCCCGGGACGCGGGGCCCTGGGTGAGGCCCCTGGCGCGCTCGCCTCGCCCGACATGCTGGTGCCGATCCAGCGACTCTGTGGGTCCCGTCCTGGGGGTGGCCGAATCAGGGGTCTCTGTTCCGAGCCCGCCGCACCGCCCAGCCCGCAGTGGCGACGCCTCCGCGTCCCTCTCCACGGCAACCTCGCGAGGTGGGCGGGCCCGGGGGAAAGGGGCAACCGCAGAGCGCACGAGGGGCCGACAGGGGGCGCCGCTGCGTCAGCGCGGAGCAGGGGCGGGGCCAGGGCGAGACGCCCCGACGAGGTGGCGCGAGGTTGCATCCTCAGTCCCTGTGAAAGGGGGAGGGCCTGGGCGGGGGCGGAGAGGGGGCGGGCCAGGAGCCATCCAGTCACCCCGAAAACTGAACCCAGGAAAGTGGAGACCTCGCCCGGCCTATTAGAGATCGCGGCCGTCGGAGGAATCTGGGAGGGGGGAAGCTCGGGTGGGGGCAGATGCACTCTCCAGAGTCCGCCCTCCTATCCCGTAAGGAGAGGGCTCCTGACGGAAAAGGCCCAGAGAAACCCATCGAGTCCGCTTGGCACTGCGTTTCTATTCTCGCCCGCATCCATTTAGCCTCCTAGAGGTCTGGAGACTTAGTTCACCAGCTAATGAGTTAATGGGGCGGGTCAAACTTCCTACAAATCTTGGATTCAAAGTCCTTGGATTCATAGTCGAGGCCACATCAGTTCCTCCGTGGGGGCAGGGGCGGTGGGGCAGGGGGCTGGCCCTGTTGGAGTATACACTCTCCTGTCCGCCTTCCTGCTCCAGCCTCCGCACCCTACTCAGTCCTAGTCCCCAGGTGCCACTCCCAGCACTTCCTGCCTTTGAGCCTTTGTGTTGTGCCCCTGTAAAAATGCCACCCTTTGGGGGGGGCTCGGACCTATGCAGTTTATTCACTCTCAGAGCCTGCAATTTGCCCATCTATCTGAGCACTTACTGATACTTTTAATTCACTCAGCCACTCAGCTTTGAGGGTAACATTTATTGAGTGCCTACTAGGTACCAAGGAACCAATGTTTAACATAACACAGGATTATTGCCTTCAGGGATCTCACAGTCCGTGGAGGAGGCAGAGACTAATCAAATAACACATAAACACATTACAGAGGTGCCTGGCACCCCATAGGCCTTCTGCAGGTATCTGATGAATAATGCAGCTATGCTCAGTGCTATGGAACAGAGGCGCTTTCCTGAGGAGGGGATGCAAAGGACAAGCAGGAGTCAGCAGGTGAGGTGAGGAGGAAGAGCATTCTAGATGTGCAAAGTCCCTGTGGTAGGAAGATGTGGTTGATAGGAGGACTAGTGGCCAGTGTGATGGGAGCAGAGTGACAAGGAACACAATTCAAGGTGAGGCTGAAGAGATAGGCCAGACCAGCAGAACCTTTGACAGTTCTGACTCTGGCCCAAGACCCATGGGGCATGAGGACTGTCAGGCAGGTGTAATGTAACCAGCTTGCATTTTGAACAGTCAGTTGTAGGGGGAACTGAGGGAATCCAGGGACACAAGTAAAGCTTTTGCTAGAGTAAACTGGGCTTGAGCTGCCTCTTGACTAAACATAAACAGTGAGTGCCCTAGGACAGGACCTATGCCTGGTGGTACCCCCTCTGAAACCACACACACACACACACACACACTGCTCGGCCTGGGCGTGCACAGAAAGGGTACCCAATATACAATTTTTACATAAATTTACAGAGTTATCCAGCAACATTCACCCCACCAGTTTATGTACACCAGGCCCTGGGGGCCTTGGGAGCAGTGGGCTAGGGAAGGGGAACCCAGCCTGCGTGCCGACCAGTGTCTTCCATGATGGAACTTGGGAGCCAGGTTCCCATCTCCTCTCCATTCACTTCCTCTGTTCAATGTTCACCGCCTGCCGGTCCTCTCCCTGCTCCTGGCAGGGTAAAACAGGCTCCATCCCCAGCCCTGGGCAGCCAAGAACAGGCATGCTGACCTCTGCACACCACCTTGACCCCTCAACGGTCCTGGCGCCTAAGTGGGGGTGATGGGGGATGCCGTACTGGAGGCAAGTCATAGTGTCCAGGGATGTGGCTGTTCTTGGGTGAGTCGTAGTGGCCAGGGGGCAGGCCCAGCGGCAAGGGGGGCTGGGAGCCCACGGAGTCTCGGTCTGGAGGCAGAGAGGGGACAGGCTGAGAGGGATGTGGCTCCTCCCCTTCTCACCACACTCCCTCCCCTCTTCAGCCTCTTCTGCCAAAGACAAACGGATGGATGGTGTCTGGATATGGGCCACTTTGTGCAGCTACTCAGCTGCCAGTGGGAGAGGTCACCTCACAGGTTATGAGGACAATTTGTCACCTGCCTTGTTCCCCACTTTTCTGGATACCAACTCCGCAGCTTGTGTGCTGCACACACATCACCTCAAATCCTCAGCCCTGCAAGGCGGGCACCACGATTCAGGCTCTAAGAGGCGACGTGACTTCCCAAGCATCATACGCAGCAGTAGCCCAAGTCTGACCCCAAAGGCCTTGCTGTTGCAGCCGCATCACACCGCCTGCGTCCTCTCCCTCGGTCCCTCCTCCCTGCCTCCCTTGTCCCAGCTTCCTCTAGCCCCTGCCCCAGGGGAAGAGGGCTCACCGTGTGTCAGAGGGCTAGGCTGCTCATAGGTGCCACTGTCTCTCTGTGGCTGGAGGTGTCGCTGTCTCTGGCTGTCCCGGAGCTGAAGAGGCTGCCTGGGGGGAGATCCTGAAGGAGGGCCTTTCATCTCCACGTAGCTACTCTCCCGGGGGTCCCCTAGGAGGCTGGGCAGGTCACGGATGGTGGCATAGGGGTTTTCACTGCTCAGGGAAGCCATGCTGGCCCCCAGCCCCTCCTCAGAGATGGGCCCTAAGGAGAGGGGAAAGAAGTCAGCCTCTGCAGAGGCACTGATTCCTAAACCCCAGTTCAGCCCCCTCCGGCTCCCAGGTCCAGACCTTTACTATAGAACGGGCCCAGGCCAGTACTGTTGCCGCAGCTACAGCTGTAGCATCGGTCTAAGCGGCTGCTACCTGAGGAGGAGAAGGCAAGCACTATAGACCCCGGAGCCCCTCTCCGGGCTCCCACTTCCTCTAGAACTGGGGCCTAGAGCCCCGTTCTGCAGACACACACACACACACTCAGCTGGAGCAGGATGCTGGGCTGCACACATCTACCCTCAAGAGGCCTTGGCCTCCACGCTCCTACCCCTGTCCAGAGGCCCCGGGGCAGGCTCCCGGCCATGCTTCCAGTCAGCAGGCAGCGTTGCATGGTTATCATGCCCGTGGGCTCCACCTGGCCGCTCAGGAGCCTGGAGGCTGGCGAACAGCTGACTGCCTGGAACCTGTCAGGGGAGGGGTAGGACAGGGAGAGTAATATGCAGGGATGGAGCTTCTCAGAGACCCAGGCCTTCGCCCAGCCCCCCGGAGTGCATCCCCTGCCCCAGCACTGACCTTGCTAGGGGGCGGGGGCTTAGGTGAGCACTGTGACAGGGTGTGGTAGCTGGGGTTGGAGTAGTAGTGACTGTAGCTCGGAGGGACATCTGCAGGAACAGGCACAGGTGCCGGATGACCTGCCTGGTCGGAGACAGGCCCAGGCCCAAGACAGTGCTTCTGACCCGGAGGTCCATGGCCAGCCTCTCTGACCTTCCTTCCTCCCTCTGTCTCTCCACTTCTCGTCTCCCAAGTCCAAGGAGGCACACAGAAGCCCCACCCCCATCTGCCCGGAGCCTGTGACCCAGCCACACCTGCGCCCCCGCTGCCCACCCAGGCCAGCTCACCTGGCATGACATACTCAGAGCCGTCCAGTCGCCCGCTGCTGTAGGCCACTGCCAGGTGTTGGTGCTCCTTGCCTTTTTGCCAATGGCGGTAGCCAATGAACATAGCCACCAGCGCCACCACCAGGGCCCCCAGCACTGCAATGCCGATCACTGCCCCCAGCGAGCTATAGGCCACTGGAGAGGTAGGCATCATGGTGAAGGGCTCCTGGCTTCCTAGGGGGGTGGGCGGTCACTCAGGATGGCATCTTGGCTCTGCTGGGGAGCTTGGGGTGCATGCACTGGAGAGACCCCAGTAGGGAGGCACCGTGGTACAAGGGGTCCAGCTCCTGCCAGAGGCCCAGGCAGGAACCTACCAGTGTCCTGGTTCAGTGGGGACAATGGGGGCCTAGAGGACAACTCACCAATCCTGCAAGGGGCACCACTATGCCCTGGGGGACACACACAGGCCCCGGTCTCCGGGTGGCACTTCTCCCCAGGACCACACTGGCATGGCTGGGAACAGTTGGCACCAAACATCCCTGGAGAGCAGCCTGGGAGAGAGCCAAGGAAGCAGGTTGAGATCAGAGGGGCCAGAGAGCGACAGTCTCCTCCCTGGGCTGGGGCTGCCCTGGCACCGGGGCATGGGGTACCCCTTCTGTTAGTACCTTCCAAGCAGAAGTGTCCAGTCCAGCCTGGGGGGCAGAAGCAGCTCCCATCCTGGGGGTGGCAGATCCCACCATGGCGACACTGGCAGGGCTGGGAGCAGTTAGCTCCCCAGTGTCCTAGAGGGCATGCTGCAGGAAACAAGGTGCCTGTCTTGGGGGGCAGGGCCAGCCCCCAGTGGATGAATCCTCAGTCCCCAGTGTCACTGAAACCTTGTACTCAGCTTTGGTTCTCCAGGGACAGCAAGACTTTGAGCCATATCTACACACTGATGACTCACAAATGCTTATCTGCAGCCCCATCTCTCCCCTTAACTCCAGATCCACGTGCCCAACCGCCTACTCAAAATCTGCCCTTGGCTGTCTTATAGAGTTTTTAAAATAACAGCCAGACAACTAAAGGCCTCCAAACTACCCTGTGTTGCTTAGCTCTGGACTTAAAAAAAAAAAAAGTCCATATATTTAATGCATTATTTGTGTGTATCTGACACTAGCAAATAATTTTTTTTCCTATGGAAAAACTCTTCAAGCTCACATCCTTCCATCCTGCATGTGGGTGAGCTTATGTCCAAAGTACTCAAAGGTTTAACAGCTTCTCATTTCCCCCTTTTCAAAATCTGCTTTGCTCCATTTTTTGGACTAATCTTTTCCATGATGTTCTTCATATGTTTGTGTGGGAAAGAAGCCACATATAAATAAATAAATATAAATTTAAAAATACACAAAAAAAAAAAAAAAAAAAAAAGAACATGTTCAAAACTAAGTGTATGATTTCCCCCAGCCCTGTACAAAGGCTGCTCTTCTCAAACCTCCATCGTGGAAGGACACAGGACTTTTTCCTGACCCATGCATTGCTGTAGTCTGAACACCTAGAACATTACCCAGCATGTAGGTGATGCCCAGTAAATAACTGTTTATATTATTTATACAAGTGACTGAATCAAAGTAGGTCCAGAGGCTTTATGCTTTAAACAGGGAACAGAAGCCTCTTGCCCTCAGCCCACCCTCTCAGCATGCACATGCGCTCAGATACAGAAGCCACCACGTACGCTGGGAGCAGTCCGGGCCTGTCCAGCCAGCGAGGCAGTAGCAGGTCCCATCCGAGGGGTGGCAGGAGGAGTGGTTAGCACACTTGCAGGGCATACAGCGTTTGCCATAGCGGCCGGGCTGACAGGCTGGGGGAAAGGGGTTGTGGTGATGGGGGCAGGGCCAACCCTCTGTCAGCCCTGACCCCACTCTCTCTCCCTCCTTCCCACAGTGGTAAGTGGCCCAAAGATTGGAATCTGGAGAAGAGACCAAGGCGGGTAGGAGCATCTGGTATCTGGCACTGCACCACGTCCTACTGCTGGCAGGCAGGGGCAGGACAGGGAGCCTCACGTCTCTGGCAGAAGGGGCCTCGGAATCCAGGTGCACACACGCAGTGGCCATTCTCCGGGATGCAGGTGCCCCCATTCTTGCAGGTACAGGTGTTGCTACAGTTGGCTCCCCAGACACCCTCAGGGCAGGGCAGGTGGCAGCGGGTGCCTGTGAGAGAGCAGGATAGGGTAAGCCTGGCCTGGGGCTCCTTCCATAGGGGCTCTTCTGGACACATTTCCTGTGGGTTGCACCCCAGCCCACAGGAGGCCTAGGGCCTGGACACCCAGAATGCTTACCTGTCCAGCCAGCCTGGCACTGGCAGTGTCCATGAACAGGGTCACAGCCATCAGAGTGGTCACAGTCACAGCGACTGGCACAGCCTTCACCAAACTGCCCGTTCTTAGGGAGGGAGCAGAGAAGAGGTCAGGCCAGTCAGCTGGAGGGCACCATGCACTCCCCTCCCCCACTCAGGCAGCACTTACCGGGCAGGGGAGCTGGCAGTGAGCCCCATGCCACCCAGGGGTGCAGGAACAGGCTCCCGTTTGTGGGCTGCAGGCTGCCTCATGGGCACACTGGCAGCTGGCATTGCAACCAAAGCCCCAGGTTCCAGGCAGGCAGGGCACAGAGCAGTTACCACGCTGCCAACCTAGAAGAGGGGCCTTGCAGGTGGCCATGGGGACCCAGCTCCCCTCCTGAGCAAGCACACACTGGGCATTGGCTAGCTGTGCCAGGCTCTGTGCCTATGAGCTAGGGGTGGGCATGTGAGTGCTCGTGGCCCCAAACAGGAGACAAGCATGTTCACTGTTAGATGTGGGACAGAAAGGTAAATGACTACTGGTAACGAGCCACCCGTCCTGGGCCCGCATCTTCTGCAAAATGAAGAGGGTTGGCAGCAAAGCCCAGGGCTTACAGAGACCCATCAGGTAGCTAAACGAATCATCCAGCTCATGTGTAAGACAACAGGGAGGAGTGGGGCCTGGAGACTGTACGTTTGTTAAATACATTAAAGAACTGGCCGAACACAACACATCTGCGTGAGAATCCAGCCTAAAGTGTGCCAACGTGCCACCCCTGGTAGATCACAGAGGCCCTTCCTGGTGCTTTGTGTGGCTCTGTATGATTGAAGAAGAGGAATGTACACCCATGAGGTAGGTGCCTTCTGGCCTGGGCCTTTAAGCACGAGCAGGGTTTTTTGTGGTTGAAGAAAAGCAAAGTGGATATTCCAGAAAGGAAGTAGCCTGGCTACATTCCCACCGTCCAGCTGTTGCCCAGTGGCTCCGCCCCTACCCTGCAGCCTCTCCCCTGCCTTTGACCTGCCCCTACCCTTGGCCCCGCCTCTACCCGTGGCCCCGCCCCCACTCCATTACCTTCCTTGCAGACGCAGGTGCCGTCGATGGGCGAGCAGGCAATGGCATTTTCGCAGGAGCAGCGTGCGGAGCAGTTAACTCCGTAAGAGTCAGGGGGGCAGAGGCTAGCGCAGTGCGGGCCCTGAATGCGGCGGGAGGGCTAGTGAGCGGTGGGCAGGCACCGGGGCCTCTCCCGGGTCATCCCCATGGCGGGGCGCGCCTCACCGTATAGCCGGGCGCACACCGGCAGAGGCCGCTGTCCGGCTGGCAGACGCCGCCGTGCAGGCAAAGGCAGTGCTCCTGGCAGCCCGGCCCGTGCGTGTCCTGCGGGCAGCTCTCGTTGCAGTGAAGGCCCGCCCAGCCCGGTAGGCACGAGCACTCCCCGCTCATCGGGTGGCAGCTGCGGGCGGAGGCGGGGGCGCGGCACGGTCTGAGCCGGGGGTTCGCAGACCGACACCCCCAGACCCTCTGCGTTGCGGGAGCCCGGCATCGCCGAATGAGAGGGTCATCTCGGTGCTGTTCCGAGAGCGCCCCCGTCCCTGTCCCCGAGGCCCCTGCCCTTTCTTCTTCTGTGGCATCTGTCGCCCCTCTTTGGATTTGCCCCTGGCGCTGTTCATGACTCCAGCGCCTTCAGCACCGAAGGCCTCTCCCATTGGCCTCCGGAGCCCTTGACCACAACGTCCTGCGGCCCACCTGAGGCTGTGCTCCGGGTCGCAGGTGCAGGGCACCTGGCAGCTGAGGCCGTAGAGGCCGTCGGGACAGAGGCGCTCAGCACAGCGGTCCCCAGTGAAGCCATGTTCGCACAGACACGCGCCGTTGGCCGAGAAGCAGCGGGCGCCGGGGACACAGTCGCACGTCTCAGCACAGTCCTGCCCGAAGTAGCCCACGGGGCACTCCTCACGGCACCTGGGCACCTGGTTCAGTGAGCCTGGAGGGTCCACAACCTCCTGACCCACACCCCACCGCTCCTGTCCACGTCAAGGCCACTCACCGGTCCCCAGTGTAGCCTGGAGCACAGCGACACTGCCCGGTGAATCGGTCGCAGAGGCCACCATTGTGACAGCGACATTCCTGGGAGCAGTTGGGTCCATGGAAGCCCTCCCGGCAGGGCAGGGAGCAGATGGTGCCCTGTTGGCGGTGGGAGGTCGACAGAGCCCCAGTGGCTCAACCCTCCATGGCCGCAGAACCCCTTGGCCCCCATACCCAGAGCCCTCAAAGCCCTCCAGGGCCGGAGGAGCACATGCCCTCACACACAAGCTCTTAAGGGCCCTGGAGAGAACCACCAGGGAATTCTCCTGGGACTCCCGCCCCACACGCACAGGCCACACCCTTCATACCATCCACCCAGGGGGGCAGCTGCAGGAGCCCTGGCGGGCCTGGAAGACACCTCCATTGTGGCAAGGATAGGTGCTGGGGCAGGAGAAGCCAACACTGCCCTGGAGACAGGACACCTCACAGCTGCTGGGCAGAGCAGGGAGGTCAGTGTGTATACAAGCAGTACACCTTCCCCCACACCCCCTCCAGCCCCCTCCACTGCCCCCCCAGAGCGCCCTTTGCCTCCTGGGCTGCTCAGCTGCACACAGGCCCTCCCCAGGAAGAAGGCCTGACCTCAGGGCTCAGGGAGTCACCCCCACCGCTCCCTGCTGCGGACAGCAGGAGTCAGAAAGCAAAGCTTCCTGCGCCTGGAAATGGCAGACACCCAGCATCATAAGGTTGGGAAGAGTGAGCGGTCCCCAAGCACCCTCCCCTCCACCTCCGCCTTGGCTCATTCTGTTGCCACTGCAGGAACCCTTTCTCCTGCTGTAGGTTTTCTATCCTGGAGGGCTCAATTCCTGGGGCCCCTCTGTGAGGCTGGACCCTTCATCTCCACCTTGGTGCACCTCTCCCTTCTGCCACTCCCCAGGCTCTCCCTGCACCCAGCCTTTGCAACAGGGTTCCCTAGGTCCCTGTCTCAGCCCCACTTTACAGTATGAATCCACACACCTGTGCTAGCTCAGTTATTCCACAGCAACCCTTCTAGCTGGACAATACTGTTCCCACCTCAAGCAGGAAACGAGCGGGGGGTGGGGGGGGGCGGGGGGAGCCAATGATCTGCTCAAGGTCACTCAGCAAGTGGCAGAGCTGGGACTAGGATCTTGGCATCTCCACTCTGTCCTGTTTAGGACCCTGTCTGAGTCCCCTTGTGTCCCCATGAATGCCCACATGACCCCGTGACACACCTGGGCCCAGTTCTCTCTGGGGTGCAGAAGCAGGCTCCAGTCTGGGGGTCACAGGGTGCTCCATGGCACTGGCAGCGGAACTGGCAGGCGGGACCGTAATGGCCGGTGGAGCAGGGCTGAAGGCAGTGTGGGGGCTGTAGGCCAGAGGGGCAGGAACATGCTCCACTCTTGGGGTCACAGGAGCTGCTGTTGCCACAGCTGCAGGGCTTGTCACACTGTGGTCCCCACACTCCGGGGGCACATGCTGTGGGATGAGGAGGATGAAAGGGGGTCACCAGCGGCCTCACCCCTCCCTAGCCTCCAGTTAGTGCCTGCCTCTCCCGCACACACCCCCATGCCAGGTTCCAGTCTACCCCTGTGCCACATCTCTGGAAAAGGCAGCTGGCTGCAATGCGGCTCTCATGGGTAATTGCCCTGGGGCCCTGTGCACCTGTGCCCTTGGAGGGAGGGTCTGGCCAAGGGTCTCTGAAGCCGCCAGCCACTTACCACTAGAACAGTCGTCACCTCGCCAGTCTTGCACACACTGGCACTGATTGGGTGCCACACAGCGACCATGGACACACTCCTGGGCACATAGCGCTGGGGCAGAGATGGGGGGTGAGCAGGTGCTTCCAACCCTGCCTCTATCCACTTTTTAGCCCCTGAAGCCTAACCTATCTTCCTTCTACACCGGAGACCTGGAGCTCTCCAAGGAGCAATTCCGCCTCTAAGGTGCAAAAAGCCGGAGGAACAGCAACTCAGGTGAGAACTTGACAAGACCTCTGGATTCTGGACTCCCCAGGGCTTTCTGTGCAATTCTCGAAGCCCCTTGTGCGGGAAAGGGAGGGGTGTTCCTCAGATAAAGACTAGCCAGGGACACTGTCCAGAGAGAGGATAGAGGCCAGAGGTGGGGCAGGATGGGCAGGAGCCTGCGGGGGCTGGTGATGGGCCGGGGCTGAGGGCAGGGGAGGGGGGCAGAGCAGGCTCCAGTCTGGGGGGTTCAGGGTGCTGGGGGGGGAGGGCAGGAGAGCCTGGACAATGACAAGACAGGGACAGGAAGAGACAGAGACAGACCCAGGCACCAAGCCCCCCGACACACAGTGACAGGAAGACACAGGCAAGCCCAGAGACATAAAGAGAGTTCAGACTGACAGAGACACCCAGGGACCTGGAGAGGGTGTGGGAGAAGCACAGGGTCAGCTAGAGACAGGGGCACCGGCAGCAGCTGCTGTCCCAGGGGTGAGGCCAGGCAAGTGGAAGAAAACCCAGAAGGGCGGGGGAGGAGCCCCACCCTGGCAGGGTCAGGGGAGGGCCAGACAGGTGGGCCAGGCCCCTCCCCGTTCTGCAGCCCCAGCGCCCCCCTCCCTGGGCTACCCGGGACTCACGGACACAGGCCCCACTGCTCTCATAGAAACCCCGGCAGCACTGCAGGCGCCGGCGGTGCGCCGTCTTCACCACCTGGCGGTACACGGTCTTGTAGACAACCCTACGGGGCAGAGAGACGAGGCAGGTGGCCTGGGTCCTCCCTGCAGAGGCTCCCGCTGTCCACTCTCCCCACAGTGTGGCTCTGGGGGCAGTAGGGGGCACTGCCCTGCCTCTAGGCTGGGGGACCACAGAAAGAGCATTCCCCCTTGCCCCTCACCCAACCGCACCCACACACACAGTGCAACACGGGACACACCCAGACACACAGCCCACACACCACGCCCTGGGCGCCTAGGCCAGCCAGATGTGTCCTCTAAACTCTAGGGTCTAAGGAGAATGAGGGCATGGATGGTGGAGGTGGGTGGTGGGGAGGCCCAAGGCAGCTGCGCAGGCCGCCCATCTGCCATCTGCCGTAGGGGGACCGGACACTCACGTGGGCCGGGGGCAGGCGTGGGGGCTCTCCCAGGGCCGGTCACAGGGCTCAGAGGGGAGCAGGCTGAAGGGGCGGGAATGGGACTCCTTGGTGGTGGTGGTGAAGCTGCAAGACGGGAATAGTCAGGTGTCCAGGGCGGCAAGGGGCAGAGCTGGCACAGGGTGCCTCAGGAAGCAGGGTGGGGGGCCCTGGCCACAGTGGGGAGTCACCACCCCAACACATGGGCTGGCTGCCCCAAGCCTCAGACATGCCCCTCCCACCCTGCCCAATCAATCTGGAACATTCCTGGGGCACCCCCATCAGAGCCCCTTTCTCACTCTAAGGGACCAGAGCCTTTAATGTCTCCACCCCTTTACAGAGAGTGAGCTAGAATGACCTCTGGGCCCCTCTGGTGGGGATGGGTTGGAGCATTTTGGGCCAAATGCTGCCCTGGGTCTTGATCCCCAACCCTGACCCCTGAGCTTCCCCCAGGCAGCCCCTCTGCTTGCTCTGCAGGGAACGCTCCTACCCTGCCTTTGGCCTGCAGTCAGCCCCCCACAGGGACCGAGAGACAGGGATAAAGAGAGGGCGGGGTCAGAGACAGGATGGAGATTGAGACAATGTCAGAAATGGGGATGGAGTCAGAGGCACCCCTCAAGGGGAGAAGAGAGGGAGGAGGGCCTGAGGAGAGGGGCAGAGGCAAGGGAAAGAAGGGGAAGGACCCCCAGAGGGAAAATGGGGAGCAGGGGGCTTGGAGCCCTCAAGGCAGGGGCCTCTCACCTTTCCCAGAAGCTGCAGGTGTTGGGGTCACTGGGGTTGAGGGTTCCAGCCAGCCTCAGGCTCAGGGCCAGGAGAAGAAGGGAGCATAGAGGTGGCGACATTGCAGAGGCTGGCAACAGGGCCAGGCGGGGAGCAGCACAGGGACAGGGCGGCCACAAGCCTGGAGGGCTGGGTGTCTACGGAGACGGAGTGGGGGCGTGCAGAAGAGATGAGGCTGCTGCCTCATGTCCTCCGGCCCCCGCGCTCCCCGGGCCCCACCCCGCCCAGGCCTGATCCCCGACCAGGAGGTGCACTGCCCTGCCTTTGAACCTTTCTCATGCTGTCTCCTTGCCTGCAATTCCTCCCTCCATCCTTCAGCTTGAGTGGTTGTCTTTCAAGGTCTAGCGCAAGTGCCACCCCTCCTTCTCTGCTCTGCTCCCCAGCCCCCCACTGGCAGACTGCCCTCTCCCATCCTGTCTGGGCCCCCCAGCACCAGTCACCCCCACACACTTCTAGTGCCTCCTCCCCAGCCATGACCTCTACAAGAGGGACTTGTGTTTTCTATCTCTGCACCCCAGCGCCCAGCCCAGCTCCTGCCCAGGGCAATTTGATATTTGTACCATCGTGTGAAACTTGGAACCCATAAGGGGAAGTTGTAAGAGAATCCAATGTGGGCTCATTGGAGGAAGAACTTCTAACAGTCCACGCAGGTCAGTAATGGAATCAGTGACCTCGGGTGGTGAGTTCCCCATCACCAGATGTATGCAGGCAGAAGCCAAAGTCACCCTGATGCAGTTGGGGCTTCTGCTTTACAGGGTGCGAGTAGGGCTGGGTCCAGGAGACCTTGAAGGAGGCCCCTCCCAACCTCTGGCGTGCAGGACCCAGCTCAGGCACCCCATTCCCCTTGCTGGGGCATCTGTGCACATTGCTTCCCACCTCCTTGTTAAATGAGGTCACATTAGTAGCTTGCAATCAGGCAGTGAGGATTACACCATGGAAATCAGAAAACACCACAAACCAGGGCCAACCCCCTCCCTCCTCCACCAGGGCCAGTTAAATATTGGCCAGCACATCACTGACCCAACACGAGGTGCTATCAGCCAGGGGGCCCCAACCTGGCCTCAGATTTCCCCTGCCTCCCTCTGGCCACCCCGTCAGCTATCCGGAAATGAGCTGCTCTCCAGCTCCTCCACCCCTGACCTCACCCAGTGGGTGGGAAGTGGGTCAGGACCTCGGATGGGTCTGCTCTCGCTCCTGAGCCCGGGAGGGGCTGAGCCCCTTGAGCTCCTGCCCTGGTGGCCAGCTGGGATTCTGTGCTCAGGGCTCCTCGAGCCGCCCCGGCTCCCTGCTCTACGCCTCCCTGAGGCGCCCACATCTGCTTATAATTTTCCTGAGAAAAGAGAAAGGTCGTGGTTGCTGCCCCCTTACCCCCCTGAGTATCTCTGGAATGCCTGCTGCCTGGCCCACCCCATGCCCCCCACCCACACACTCCCAGGGTCCCCACAGCCTCTCTCCCTCCAGGTTGGGAGTGAGAGAGATGCTTCCTGACTTAACCCCATCTCACCCGCTGCCTTCTGCTCACCAGTAACCGCCCCCCACTCCTCCGCATGCTCTCCGGCGGCAGGGCTGCCTCTCCTCCCCCTGCAAATCTCTGCCCCTCAGCCATGCACAGCAGCCAGGCTCTCCCACAACTTTGGCCCATTGCCCCCATCAGAGCTCCCCCCAGGAGCCTCCTCTGTGCTCCTCCGTCCTCAGTCCCTGTAACTCACCAGGCTTCTATGGCATCCTGGGCCTCAGAAACTCAGGTGGGCCAGGCACAGGACAACGTGACCAGGCCTCGGAGCCTGGGGGTCCAGAGAGAGTCCTGGGGGATCCCAGAGCTCAGGATATGAGCCTGCAAACAGGAAGCAGGGCCCAGCTAGAATGTGTGGGTGTGGGGGAGGGAAGCAGCGGGGGCCATCACGGGCGGGGTGTGGGGTGGCTCTGTCCTCCACCACCCTCAACTCAGAGTGGGATGTCGGGGGAGCAGGCAGGGCCGGGAGCCTCTCTCCAGGGACTTGTGTCCTGAGCTGAGCATGGTGGCCCCCTCTGAGCTGGTGAGGAGGAGACGCAGCCTGTCCTCAGGAGCCAGGCCACAGGAGTGTCCTTCCTGGGATCCCAAAGTCCGTTCAGCACACCACCCCCAGGGCATCTCCCACACATCCCCCGCCCCCCCAAACAGAGTCAGCTCCTTTTCCCAACCTCCCCAAACCCCCTCTGCCCCTGCCCTGCTCTGGCATCCTTCCCAGGCCCCGGGCCCCCCTCCAGGCTCACCCTGTCTGCTCCCAGTTGACCTTCTCCCCACTCTTCCCTTGAGTGTGCATGGGCAGCCAGAGACATGGGCAAGACCCTGAGCCTGCCACACATCTCCCCCTTTTCATCCCTCACTCCTCCCCCTGCTCCCCTCTCCCTGGACCCGCTGCTGTGGCCAGACTTGGGGCCCCTGTCCTCAGATAGGAGCTCAGTCTGTCTGGATCCAGGATCATCAAACTTGTCCCTGAATAAGCCACATCTCCAGCCACACAGGGACCCCCAGGTGACCCCACCCACGCCTGGATCTGTAGCTCGGGGCTGCAGTGAGGGGTCTCCTCCGAGAGCTGGGGCACAGAGAGGAGAGGCCTGTGGCTGCCAGCCCCCTCCTTCACATCAGCCCCACGCACCAGTCCCCTCCTCCCAACCAACTTCTAGAGGAAATGGCTCACTTGGGGGATTGACAGGGACCTGGAGGTGGCAGAGGAGCTTGAGGAGGGCTTGACCCTAATCCCAGGGTGCTGACTAGGAACCAGAGATCAGCTGGCTGGAGGGGTGGGGAGACTGTGTTTTCCCAAAGGGCCTCAGGGTAGGGCTGGAGTGCAGAGGAGGCTCAGCTGGTCAGGTGGAGCTGCAAGCCAGGGTGGGGTCTGGGAGATCAGTAGGTGGTCCACGGGAGGGGGGAGATGGGATGGGGATCCTGGCGGGGAGCAGCAGGGTTTGGCCTGACCAGCAGCAGAACCCTGTTCTCAGCCCACCCCAGTGCCCCACAGTTCACTCATGGAGGGATTCCCTCCATCTTCTCCTTCTCCTCCGTCTCCCTTCTCCTTCTTCCCCTACAGATGCTCCCTCCCTGTCCCCTACTTAGCCCCCTTCCTCCACTGCACCTCTGGATTGAGTGACCCAGACACCTTTGCTTGGGACCAGAATGATAATGTCACCCCATGCCTCATTTACTGCGTTGAGAAAGGCTGAGTGCCGAGTGATTGTGTAGATGATCTTATTTGAAGCTTACATCAGTCTGCCGGGGTGGGTATTATTCATTTCACAGATTCAGAAACAGGCACAGAGAGGGAAAGTCACCTGCCGAGGACCACACAGCCAGTAGTATCAGAGCTGGAATCCAAACCCAGAATGCTGACCGAGGCCTCCCACTGACTCCAGTCTTCCCTGGGCCCAGGAATCCCAGGCGCTTTGCGTCTCCTAGTAGCCTCAGTTATGGGGAAGAGGGGAGCCTGGCAGGGGACCAGCCAAGATGAGAGGATGGGGGTGGGGGCTGCCACAAGAACATGATCAGAGGCGTGGGAACTGGGATGTGTTTACAGTCAAGAATGAGCAGACACTTCTCTCCCCTCCACCTCGAGATGCAAAGCAACTGGGCTCCTGGCCAGGCTCCGAGTCCCCAGTCCCGCCTGCCTGGCCCCCAGCAGCCCTGCCCTCTCAGCCTTCAAGCTCACACAGGGCCCAACCCAGCTCCCCTCCCCTGCTCTTCTGCTCAGCCTGGTTCCTTCTGGTGGGGAGCCTCCCTCCCCCCCTAGGACAGAAATGAGTCTGGGGCCTCTGGGATGGGGACAGAGCTCCTAGTGGAAAGAGCTGACCCATTTCTATAAAAGGCAGAGGGCAGGGGCTGCTGGATGTCAAGACAGCAAGAGGGCTTCCCCACTACTCATCCAGCTTCCCTTCCCCCAGAGGAGGTGTAGCAAATGATACCTCTGAGCTCTGCATCCCCTCCCACCCCTGTTCAAACCTGGGTGTGAATCCCGCTTCTCAGTTCCCACATCTATAAAATGGGGGTGATAATAGTAATTCTCCATGTAGGGTTGTGTGTAGATCAATACATGACTTGCTACAGATAAAGGGCTTAGAGCCTGCACACATGCTCTGAACAAGCACCAACTGCCTCCAGGACAGGGTCCTCAGTCCCGCTCCTGCACCCAGTGGGCCCCCTCCCACTCCCCTTGGCACCAGCAGACCCTTTGGGTATTAACTCCAGGAAAAGCTGTTTCTTATTTTTTTCTGAAGAACCCCCAGGATGATCCGGGAACGGGGCCCTAGATGCTGACAAAGAGAAGGAATTGGGAGTGGGAGGGCACCGGGCCTCCCTGAGAACCTGATCCCCCAGAACGATGGGCTGCCCGCCAGGTACATCTTCAAGCCAATGGCGGTTGACGAGGCAAGATGCCTGGATCCCGTCCCCCCAGCCCTCAGCCTGAGCACCCACTCCAGCTCCTTGCCTGGCCCCACCGGCTCCCCTCTCATCTCATTCTCTTCCCCCATCACCCTCCCCCCTTCCCGTGGAGGAGTCCAAAGGTTCTAATACTTACACGTGACCTCACGCATGTTACTTGTGCCCTGAGAGCCTCCATTTCCTCATCTGTGAAGTTAGAGAATACCACCCCCCACATCCCAAGGTTCCGTGAGGGTTGGAGCTGCTGGTTCCAGTGACCACCCAGGAACAGAGCCTCAGACCAGAGGCCCCTCAGTGGACGTGTGCTGTTGCAGGAACAGCCCCCCCGAGTTCCACGCTCTCCGCCTCTTTCTTTCTGCCTTCTCTCTGTTCTTCATCAGAAATTCTCTTTCTGCCTCTTTTTTCCTTCCTCCATCAGTTTCTTGGGCTCTGTCTTTCTGCCTCTCCTTCCTTTCCTGTATCAAGGCTGCCATGTACAGTTGTGCAGTATATTCACTGCACTAGGCAATCGGTGTTCGGGTGTGGAGTGGACCTGAACTCCAGCCTCCAGCCACTCACCAAGCCGTGTGTCTTGGCCTGATGCCGAGGTCGCCTTGCCCTGTCGCTCTCTTGTCTTTCTGTCTCTCTCCCCGTCTCTGTTTGTGCCCTTTCCCAACCCATCTCTGCCGTGGAGACAGGATCGTTTAGTCCTCCCCACTCATAAGTGCGATCCCAGTGGGAAGAAGCCCCCTCTCCATACAGGGTTGCCTCTGACCCAGCTGCACCAGCAGCCTAGTGAACACGAGAGCATGCCACTCCGAACACGTGTGCACACTTGCACACGCGAGCACAGAGCCCCTCCTACATCCAGCCAAGCCAGGCCTTCGGCACGCCAGGCATGTCTGCCGGATGGAGGGACAGGAAGCCTGCGTGTGTGCCAAAGGCTGGGAGGGAAGGGGCAGGGGTGAGGGGCCTGCCTTCTATTCTCTGTGGCTCAGGAAACAGAAGCTAGAGGGTCCTCAGCCGACCTGTTTACTCATCAGGAAATAGAGAAACTGCAGGGATTCTGATTCACCAAACATCTATTGCGTGCCTCCTGGAGGCTGGCGCCAGGGCCAGTTCCGACCCCCACCACCCCACCACCTGCTAGTTACTGTCACCCCATTTCACAGGCGACACCATGGAGGGGCTCAGGTTAAATGACTCGCCTGAGAGCTGACTGGTCATCAGAGACAACAGCAGGATTCAAGTCTGCTTCAAAGGACAAAGCACTGGGTGGGGGGTGACCCCTGGAGTGACACAGGCTGGAGCAGCTCCCCCTCTGGTCCACCCTGCTCACCAACACCCCAGATACCCTCGGAAAGTACAGCTCTGCTCTGGCCACTGCGCTTCTCTAATGCTCTCTGTGGCTCCCTACACCAAGGAAAGGACACCCAGAAGTCAGGCCGGCCAGGTACCCAGCCTCCTGGCATCTGCCCCTGTGCTCCCATCACACTGAACAACCTACTGCCCCATCATGCCCCCCACTGCACAGCCACCTCTGGAATATGCAGGTCCCACCCATCCTTCAAGGCCAGCTTCTTCCAGGAAGCCCTCTCAGGGGCTCCAGGCCTCTCCCACTCCTCCCTGTGCTCTAGGCTTCCTGCAGGCTCTTAGCAAAGGAGCCCTGAGTGGCTCTCCAATTCTGCCCTGTGGCCTCTTCCAAACTAGACGTGGATCAACACTTCCCCAGGCCCCAGCCAGTCTTGGCCCGCTGTCCCTTTTGTGGGGACGTGTGGGATGAACCCAGGCCAAGCCAGGAGCTCACAACCCCTTGAACACCTCATGTCTGCGGGTCTGCTCAGATGATGGGCATCCCATCTTGTGATTGCTGGTTTGTGACTCTGGTTTCCCGGCCAGGCTTATTCCCTCCTCTTCTCTCTGAGGAGACAGTAGTGGGCCAGCTGGCCCCCGGACGCTCCGTCACAGCTCCCAAGCCACGGTCATCACGTTTAATTAAGGTCTGTCTTCCCCACTGGAATGGAGCTCCCCGAGGTCAGAGCACTTCTCTGCCTTCCTCACCCTGTGTCCTCAGGCCCGGGCACCACCTACGTGCCCACTCCCAGGATGCCTGGCACCCGGAGGGCAGTAACAGTCATGTGTAGTGGATGGACTGATCAGTCCTGAAATCCTTTCCTGCTCCAGGAAGCCTGGGCCTCACCCTGTGGGGAATGGGGGTGAGGGAGAGATGTTTGGAGGTTGTAGCTTCTCCCTGGCTCACCAGACAGCAGAACGGGGTCCTCCTTTGGCCCCCAAGACACAGCCTTGGCAAGACATGGAAGGTGGAGTTCAGGAAGACCTTCCAGTGTTACACAGTGAAAGGCGGCTCCAGACGTGCCCTCCTGACCTCCGGGAGGAATTCCTCAGGGCTGCCCTCCAAGTTCCTCCGGGATGATGCAGGGCATGCTAGGCACTGAGTCACCTGCAGAGGAGGGGGTGTGCCTCCAGCCCAGCGACAATGTCCCCTTCCATCCACACACCTCCTCTCAAATGGAGGGACTGGGCCCCAGATGCCACCACGTGGGGGTGAGGTAAGAGGCAGAGGTAGGAGAGGGGCTCCAGGAAACGCCAGGGCCCCAGGGCTCACCCACATGCTGTTGCTCTCTAAGCCCCCATCTCACCAGGTGTGGGTGCTGTAATACCAACTACCACCTTTTGTTAAATGTGTACCGGGGGCTCGATCTTTCTTGTCATTCTCTCAGCAATTCTAGAAAGTAGGTTCTATCACGCCTCTCATTTTGTAGATGAAGAAATAGTCCAGAGAGGTTAAGTGCTCTGCCCTGGGTCACACAGCCAGCCAAGGGCAGTGTGGGGATTCGGACCAGGTCTACCAGCTCCAGCGCCTGTGCCGCCCCTTTCGGTCCTTCTGCCCCTTGGTTCCTCTTCGGTCTTCTGACTGTCTCTCCTTGCCTCCACCGCCCTCTTGTTTTCTCTAGGTCTGTGCTCTGTTTCTCTAAGTCTGCCTTTCCCCCCTGGGGGCTTCAGGAGCAGGAGTCTCCGGCCTTGTTTGCATCTGTCTGTCTGCCTCTGTTTCCCTATTTACGTCTCTCTGTATCTCTGTCTTTGTCTCTCTCTGTCCTTCCCTATCTTCTCTCCCTCCTTCTGCTGGCTTCTCCCCCATGGGTTTCATGCCAGAAGGGCTGCTAACACCCTTCCCAGAGCGAGGAGTGGCCCTAGGGCCCCTCCTGTGTCCCCGGAGGCCTCTTTCTCAAGGCTTCCAAGGCCACTCAAAGGAGAGGCTGGGGAGCACCACGGGGGAGGCCCGCCTGGCTCCAGCACCCCTCCCCAGCAGCATGCGTGTTGTGGGGAGGCAGACAGTGGTGCAGTGACTGCTGCCTCTCTCTGGGTTTACAATTGGTGGATGGGGCTGCCTGGAGAGCAAGTTTCCTCTTCTGGGAAAGTCTGATAGGGAATGGGGGACACAGGCGGTGGCTGGGGGGGGAGTGTGTGTGTAGAAACAGATGCCAACCCCTCAGCTTCACCTCCCAGTGAAGACAGGGAGACAGACGGGCAAGCCTGGCTTGCCAACCAGCTCCAATGTGGCAGGGAGTGTAGCCCCAATTGCAGGGGCCAGTATGGCGGATTTCGGGAGACCTCAGAAGTGGGAGTGGGGTTGCAAGAGGCAGATGACAGGACACAGGAGAGCTGCCCCCACACCTTGGCTCACAAGTGCACACACACAGGTGCGGTATTATGGATTGGGTTCAGGTGGGGCTCAGGGAATGGCTCTCCAAACCCTCAGGCCCAGCTTAGGGCAGGCAGGGTTGAGAACTGACCCCTTGCCCAAGCCTGCCTGGAGCCAGAGGGCTGGCGGAGCCTGGGAAACTCAGGCCAGCACAAGCTGTTCCCATCCCCAGGGAACGGGGTCACAGCCCATTCCCGAGAGAGGCCACTCATAAAAGGCCAGAACAGGAGAGCCCAGGGTCCACTACTGGAGGCTAGAGATGGGGTGGGAATGAGGGATGGCCGTGCTGGGGCCTGGGCTCCTGGGGCCTGATCACTCAGCCCAGCCCCTCCCCAGCCTTGCTGTTAGCACTACGCAGAACATCCCCACCGCCCCCAGGGCTTTCTAAGGGTCCAGATGCCTGACACCTCTGGCCAGCTTCCTGGCCCTCAAAACTGGCGTGGCTGTTGAGCGCCAGGGACCTGTAAACCTGTGTCCCTTCCCTACACCTCCTCAAACATTCCTTCTGGTGGGGAGCGGGGCTACACAGATAAGAGATGACCAGGAACTTTCCTAGGCAGGAAACATGTTTTGGCTAATCCAAGCCCCACAACAACGCCATGAGTCAGCACTGCATTCTATATTTTATTCCTCTTGACGGAATGAGAAACCGAGGCACAGAAGTTAAGTCTCTGGACCGAGGTCCTATAGCTGATAAGGGTCAGATTCAAGATTCGAACTGAAGCAGCCTTGACTCCAATGTGGGTGCTCTTGCCTTTCCCTGCAGCCAAGCAGAGGACCGGGTGCCCCGTTCCCCTGCAGCCCGGAGGGAGCCAGCGGAGGAGGCTGCCCCAGGACTCACCAAGTCGCTGCGAGGGGGTCGGGGAGCGGCCTCATTTGCGTGTCATTTACATGTTGTGTCCATTTGCCTGGCAACCCCCAATGCCCTCTGGCCCCTCGCTACCGGTCTGTCTTTTATCCCTGCTCCCTCTCGGGTCTCGGACTCCAGCCCGGGACGCGCAGCCACTCACCTGCCTGGAGACCCTTTCTCTCCGTCGTTGGCCTGGGGAGGGGACCGCCAGGGTCTGGCAGGAGGAGGACAGCGCGGGGTGCAGCGAGGGGCCCCAGCCCGACTGCGGGAGCGGCTGGGCGGCCGAACGCGGAGGCTGGCCGGGCGGGGAGGGGCGCCGAGGGGCGGGGGGCAGGAAGGGGGTGGGACCTCGGGCTCTCGCCCAGGCAGGAAGTTTTGACAAGGAAACTGGCAGCCGGGGGAAGGGAGATGCAGAGTGCCCGGGAGGGAAACTGCGCGGGGGGTGGGATCATGGAGGCCGCGCGGCGGTTGACCCTCGGCAGCCTGGACCCGAGCAGAGGGAAGCCGAGCGGGGAGAGGGCAGGAGCTGCGGCCAGTCCCTCCTCTGCCCTGCACCAGCTGGGCGGCCGTGGGTACTTCTCTTCCCGGGCCTCAGCTCTCCTATCTGCAAAGTGGGGTTGTGGAGGTGAATCAATGAGATCGTCTGGGCCGGGCACCTTCCTCGTGTGGCCCCACAGCCGTGACCTTATTAGACCAACCCGGGGACCCACCGGCCAAATCCCCTGTCTGGGGGACGCGGCCCGGGCAACGGCCTCTCCTCTTCTCCTGCCCCATCAAAACACACCGAGGGAGGGTTTGATCCTGGAGAGCTGGCTCCCCGGGAGCCTCCGCCTCTGCCTGCCCCCTTGATCCCCGGGCCGGGCGCTTCGGGCCCCGTGGCACGGCAGCCTGTGCGCTCTAAGCCCGCGCCGGGCGCCACCTCGCGGCCATCGCCCGCCGCCCCACCGCCAGCACCGCCGACCTGGGAGAACGGCTTCCTGTGGAGGTCGTCAACCTGTGCCCGGCCTTCTTAGGGCGCCCTTCCCTTATCAGTCCCTGTCTGAGGGGACAGAGACCGTTTTCATAACAACCATCATTTGCTTTCATCGTTAGCCCTTTAGATGCATTGGTACATTTAATCCTTAACTCGAGATTGACTCCATTTACGTGAAACTGATGTCGCGCGTGCTTAGGCCCCTAATAAGTGGCAGAAGTAGCATTTGAACCCACGTCTGAGTCCTTCTGCAAACCACAGGGCTCCCTCTGCAAACCACGGCTTCCGGCAGATAAAATTACCAGAGTCCAGGAAGAGCAAGGCAGGAACATCCCTCCTTGCAGACTTTTAAAAATCAGCTTTACTGAGGCCTAACCGACATGCAATACAAAATGTACCCACTTCAAAGTATACAGTTCGATGAGGATTTTTAGATTTTTTTGTGTGTGGTAAACTGTATGTAATGTTAAAATTTATCATTTTAACCATTTAAAAGTCTACACTGGCATATTACATTCATATTGTGCAACCACCCCCATCATCCATCTCCATAACGTTTATCATCCCAAACTCAAAGTGGGTACCCATTAAACTCCCACTCTCCATGCGTCCTCCCCAGCCTCTGGTGACCTCTATTCTACTTCCCGTTTCTCTGAATTTTGACCACTGTAGGTACCTTATACAGGTGGAATCATACAGTATTTGCCCTTTTGTGTCTGGCTTATTCACTTAGTTCAATGAGTTTTGACAAATGTGTTCATCTGTGTAACCACCACCCCAATCACAAATAATTTTAAAAGCATTTTCCTCTCCCCCTAAGTTTGCCTCGTGCCCCTTTACAGATAATACCCCACCCCCAAGTCCATCCTCACTTCTCTGTTACTGTAGATTTGTTCTAGAATTGTCATATAAATGAACTCAGACAATATGTACTCGTTTATGCCTGGCTTCTTTCTCCAATCATAAAGGCTTTTGAATAGTTCACTGCCCTTAGCCCTGAAGTGGTTTTCCATGGTGTGGCGCTACCACAGTTTGTCTTATCTACACCAGTTGATGGGCACGGGTGTTTTCCAGTTTGGGGCTACTATGAAGGCTAGTCTGAACACTGTGTTCAGGTTTTGTGTGGGCATATGTTTTCATTTATCTTGGTAGCTTACTTAGGAGTGGGATCGGTTATAACAGTCATTAATTCTTTTATGTATCTGTTTTCAGGTCCTTTGTCAAAAATATATATTGAGAATATTTTCTATGTGAGAAACAAGCAAGTTTGGTGCTTGGAGAGGTGGAAGGTGTGGCGCGGGAGGTGAGAGGAGGGAAGCAGGCGCATTGGATGGTACAACTGGCTTTGGGGACGGAAGGAAAGCAAGCAAGAATGAACGGATGACGTTGCTTCTCAGACTCCAGTGTCATCAAAAATGTCCAGGAGGGGGCAGCAGAAACCAGGGCACAGCTCAAGGGCCCGGAGGCCCAAGATCATAGAGTTGCAGCACGTCAGAGGCCAGAGGGGCCTTGAAAGTGATCTGATGCAGCCCCTCAAGCGCAAAAGGAGAGGCTGAGCATGTGCTCCTCCCCCCTTTACCTGCCCCGTTTGTTCTCCTCTCTACACATTCACCGCAACTGCCCTTTCTCTTCCCCGAGAAACCTTTCCAGCCTCTGTCCCTCCCTCCCCATCCTGCGCCTGCATATGAATGTTTAACCTGCCTCTCTTAACTGAGACCGAGTGCTTCAAGGACTGGGCCAGGTGGAAATCATCTTCGTCATCGCAGAGACTGGTGCAAAGTGCTCAATAACGTCAGCATGCAGGGCTGCCACCTTGCGCGGTGCGCCGCCAGCTCTCTGGACCACAGCTCCGCCCAGTGGACCCAGCCCTATAGCTGCAAGGACGGGGGTTCCTCTGTTGCCTCCCAGGAAAGTACCAGGAGGCCCAGGGCCTCACTCATCCCTCTGTTCAACAAGCACTCACTTTTTGTTTACCTGGTGCCCAGGAGACAGAGGAAAGGTCAATGGTGGTGGTGTTGATGGCAATTACTAACTGAATAAACCCTGCTGATCACCAGGCGCTTTTCTAAGACCCTTTACTTTCCATAACTTAATTTAGGCGAGAAATGAAAGCTCCCTGCCCTCAGAGAGCACATATGCTAGTTGGGGAAAGGGTCAGTTATTAGTTCATACATGGAATGAAGATTTGTTAAGCACCTACTATGTGCAGGCACTGAAACTAAAACTATAACCAAAATAGACAAAAATTTCTGCCTAAATATGGAAGGTAAAAAAGAGAAGCCTACATTCTAGTATAGGTGCCAATGGGGAGAAGATCAATAAACAAAATCAGTAAAATCACAATGCATTAGATGATAAACAATATCATAAAAAAATAGAGAAAAACAAAACAGAAAGGGAGAGAGGGACGGCTGGGGTACAGTTTTGGAAGGGTGGTCACTGTGAAGGTAACTCCACGCAAAGCCCTAAAGGCGGTAAATCAGGGAGCCGTGCAGATTTCTTGGGGAAGAGCATTCCAGGAAGGGGAAGAGAAGTTCAGAGGCCCCAGGCCTGAGCATATTCCACGTTCAAAGACTTGCTAGAGTTGCAGCACGTCAGAGGCTAGAGGGGCCTTGAAAGTGATCTGATGCAGCCCCTCAAGCACAAAAGGAGAGGCTGAGCATGTGCTCCTCCCCCCTTTACCTGCCCCGTTTGTTGCTT